GAGGATGCTCCAGGAGCGAACAGAGGTTACAGAGAGCAGAGCTGATGAAAATGGCTGGGCTTAATGCAGACGGGGCAGCAACGTGACGTGGCCACACAGGTCTCGCCATCCTAACTGCTGCTTGGCTGATCTTCAAAAATAAATCCAACCTTAGAGAAACACGTAAAGGTAAATTCATCTTCCCAGCCAAAGCGTTCTCTAAAACGCACGTTCACGAAAATGCTCGCTTCCTTTGAACCTAAACATCCTTAAACTATTTTCCTGAGGCACCGAAAGCTTGGTAAGTTCTGTGAGTTAGCTTGCAATTCACCTCTGCACCAGCCTACAGAATCACTCAAGTTTAGCTCTCGTCTCATTTAAGCCCCATCTAATTATGCAACTTAACTACAGCGAGAACAACAGTTTTGCTGAATATGCAACAGTCTCGTCGTCATATGTTGATGTGGGGAGACAGAAGGAAAAGGCTGTTTTCTTTAAAGTTCAAGCATTTCTACGGGGCTTGACTGCTGGGGAAGAGACAGAGCCCTCTCCGGTATATCTGAAGCCAAATGCCTTTTTCTCGCCCGTCTTGGACGTGCCCACATCCACCTGAACAGAAAGGTACCAATCTTGGGGTTTTTCCTACCCGTCTTCCTTCAGGACTGCGGTTCATTAACTACAAGAAACGCAGTTTCATTAATGTGCATTAACCAATGACTTTCCTATCACCACTGCTGTCTCCCATCAAAGAATCATTTACGGAAAACAAGGGCAGAGGGAACAACATGCTTTGGCAGCTTTAAGATTAGACGCCCAAAGCTTTATACCCTCCGTCTTATATTTTTACGTTAAAGTATCACGAGATATTACCATATTTTTCATTATTATTTGTGGCACTAAATACTGCAGCACACAGTGCCAGATGGCTAATATTCAGAATAAAAATAACGCAAGGCCAATCTTAGAAAGATTCAATGCGAATGTAACAGCATGTATTCTACAACCAGTACAACACTGGACAAAAACGCAAAGCGCCAGAACAGACCGAGATGAATTAACCAAAACACACGACAGATCATTTAAGAAAAATGAACAGGAAAAAACCCACAAAAAACACCAACCCAACGGCGGGGCGGCATTCGGCCCCTCGCCAAGTGGGCCCTGCGGCTGACAGGGGGCTGGGGGGGGGTCTCCGGGGAAAACACTGCCAACACTGCCTGTGTGAAGGCTGCTCTCAGCTGAGCTTCTGACGCCATGGGCCTCTGCCGCTGCCCTCTGAGGAGGCGTCTTCTGGGATGCCGGTTCCCGGTGCTGTGCCAGCCCTGCCTAACCACGGTCGGAGGGAAAACGGGTGACTCCGCTCGGATACAGGGGACTTTGCCCTTGGTGGCCTTGAGACCTCGCAATGGGTGTCGTTTTTCGAAAGATGTATGCTTAGCATAGTGTTCAAATCCAGCTCTTTTAAAGTGTTTGAAGCAATAAAAATAGAAACACTCCAACACATCAGTCACTGGGAATTAGGCTGGCTTGTGGCTACAACGTGAGAGGCCAAACGGCCTTTTTCAGTGGCTGGCATTCTGGGTTAGGATTTGAGAGGCATTCTAGGTAGGATTTTAGATAGTTTTGTAGCTGTGTGTTATCTGTAAGAGAGCTAACTGACGTGATAAATTTTAAATAATTTGTAAAACAGCTAACAGCATGTTCATACAACATGTAACCTGTTTGCCGTAACAAAATAGAGGACAAGTCTTGCTTAGTGTTAATGTGGAGAAGAACATGTTTTTGTAAGAAGAAAATCAAAATGCCATTTTTGTAACGTAATCAAACATTTTAAAATACAGCTCATTTATGCTATTTAATTGACTACGAAATGTAATTCACACTGCACTTCAAATGTAACTGCTCTGTTCTTAAATGTAAGGCCTGAGGATTAATAGTTCATATTCTTCTAGGAGTAAGTACAACAGCCCCTGTCTCCAAATCAGTACTGTGCCTTCCAGCACATATTCTACTTGTCAAAACTGATTTTGTATCTCTGAGTGAGGGGTTCTACCCCGCCTCCCCAACCTTGCCTGGTTTTCCCATTTTTAATGTCTTTGCATTCATTTCTTCCCATTAATTTTCCCTCTTTCTTCATGTACTTTGGTGAAGCATTCCCCTCTTTGTGTTCATACCCTTCCAATGCTGCTGATTCTAAATTATGAGTATTGCACTTTTCTTTACCCTCTAGCCCGACTCCTGAATTCATTTTGATTTCCACAGCTCTGGGGGCACTTTCATTTAGTCTCATGCCTGCCATAACCGGAGTTGTCAACGTTGCCATACAAAATACAGGTTTCGGTCTCCCCTTGGCACACTGATTATCTGGCATTCAGTGCTGATTCTTTCCATTTTATAGGAATGTTTAATAATTGTAAATCTTAGTTCTATAAATAGTCTTTAGGAAATTGTGCTCCACTTCTTTACAGCTGGAAGACGTAAGTATTTGTCGCTATAAGTGAAGTTCATTACAATGTTATAATCATATTAAAAACCTTTAATGAGGAAGAACTTAAAAACTTTAATAAACTCTAAATAAGGCGTTATTTCACCTCCATGCGCCGGGGCTTACTTCTTCTGCTGAGCTGCTTCTGTCATCTTTTCTCACTGCCAACTCTGGAGCGTGCATTGATTTCTGTCTGTCTCCAAGGAGATCCTCTGCTTCTACAGCTAAATCTGCAGAGAAACAGGTATTTTTTTTGTGGCAAGCTACTTTAAACAGTGCAAGTTTATAAAACTCGTCTGCTGTTAGCTTTCCGTGTCTATAGCACGAGCTTTGTTCTCCTGGTTAGGTCGCTCCGAGGGAAGGGGTTGTCACGTTTCTGACCACTACAGGTACGTGGCCTCGTTTTCTTTCGGTGTCTCTCTCAGGCTTTGTGCAGGGCCTTGTACAGCTGTCAGTAATGTGGTACCATGTAAATAAACTGGTGTCGAGAGGAGAGAGAAGATTGGAACTGGCAAAAAGACGGAAATAGGTGGGGGGGGATAAAGCCAGCAGCACTGGAGAGTTATTGAAGAAGGAACAGCAGGTAAAGGCAAACTTTGGAGGGGAAATACTAATGTCAAATATATTAAGCACCTTATTAGCCTTAAAAGCGCAGAGGACATAAAATGATATGCATTAGCACAGAAAATGGAAATTCTGAAGCTGATTTTTTGCTCAGTTCATGCTAATGGAATAGTAAAATTATTAATTATAAAATTTCCCATCAAATACCACCTAGCCATTTGCTGTTGTAAGCAGATACACGTGTACGTAACGCCAGATTCTTCAGCGCAGATAATTTTCTCATGTCTTGGCCATTTTAATTCTCAATACCCTAAACGAGGGGATGCCAACGATCCTATCCCATTTCCATTATGACAATTATTTGCCAGAGATTTATCTTTAGCTTCCCTGTATTTAACTGGATCCCATTACTTCCAGTACTCCTTCCTTCTATCGTCATGAGTAATTTCTCACCCTTCTTAAATGTTGACAGCACGGGGTATGGTCACCCCTCGGTTATCTGTAAACTAAGCTGCTAGCGTTTAGCACGTTTACTGCCTTTTTCCAAATTAATCGCCTCCTCTCCACCGGTCTGCTGATGGGCTTTTCCGGCGTTAGATGACTGACGGAACGTAATTTTCAATGTTCCATCAGAACGCTGAACATTCCCCTTCGTATTTCATGAGAGGAGCGTGTTTCTTTCTCGCGCAGCTGGCGCTTGCTTCAGAACTTTATAGTAGAGGAAAAATTAGTGCTAGTCTGTGCTAAAGAGAGCTCATGGACTGGATGATCAAACGCACGTTTTCCATCTGCAAGGTTAGGGTCTTACGGGAGGTATGTAACGGGTTCTGTCACTTGACGCAGGGTACAGGCGCGTGGAACCTGCTCTTCTCTCCGTCTGTAACGAAGACAAGACTGTAATGATAGAGTTGTCTCAGAACGGCGCGGTGAGGTTTAACAGTGCAGGTTTGCGGAGCGATTTTGTACATCTCCATTAGAGAGGCGTTAGAGCCACGTCAAGCACTGCGATACCACAGTTCAGGGTTCTTCTATCCACACGCAGGGTATTCCGTGTAGCACATGCCCAAAGAGCTGGATACGGTGGAAACACTGGACACGCATCACACGGCTGAGAGCCTGTGCTGCAGGTCGGACCGATCCGGAACGCACTGTACCCGCACACATACACATCAACGTGAGAACCGGGCATCACTAGTCAGGAGAAATTCACATTTACGTATTCGAACTTCCTTGAGTCCTACCTCCTCTTCTCCTCCCAACCTGCACTGATGTCTATTACAGTTTCCAGCATCTTGAAAGACCCGAAAACCAAACAGAACCCAAACAAAGACAGACAAAAGCCCTGCAGCAGAGCTGCGCCACGCG